CGATCTCCAAGGAGAATTTTGATCGGTCGCAATGGTCAGTTCGATCGAAACACAGTTCCCCGATGTTGGAACATCATTTCCGGTCATTGGAATACATAATTATGAAATTTAAAAAATTCGATATTTTGGGTAATTCGTCATTTTGGGTGTCGATATTTAGGGTCACGATATTTTGGGTGTCGATATTTAGGGTGCGATATTTAGGGTGTCGATATTCTGGGGTGATCCCGTTGGATCAATCTCTTATTAAGGAAAACAGAACTAACAACAGCAATTTAAAAAAAATGTAAAACAAAAAAGTTGTGGGTATTTTGTCTGTGGGTATTCTGTCCGTGTGGGTCTTCTGTCTGTGGGTCTTTTGTCTGTGGTTCTTCTGTCCTTGGGTCTTCTGTCTGTGGGTCTTCTGCGTCGACACGGTCAAAATTATCTCAAAAACTTTTATCAAAAGCTAAAAATTTGAAAAAGAAATTTCCAATCAATTTTTGCACTTGTGGAGAAAAATTTCAAAAAAATTTCAAATGCAGATATTTTTGATAAATTTCATATACTAATTAACCCTTAAATACTTTTTTTGCCTTAATATTCTTATAAAACCTAATAAATTAATAAAAATATTTAATTAATTAAAAGGGCACTTCTTTGTGCCGCAACAAAACAATGTATAGAGCCAGATCATTCTTATATAAATTGCCCATCAGATTATAGCACTATTGCTACTTGCCATAGATACGATCAAAGTGTTTTTGGAATTATTAATGTAAACGGGGAATATCAGCGCTCAATTTTATCTACAGGTAAAAATAAAAAAAAAGAAAGCAAAATTGTAATACCAGCAAAGTATTTAGTATAGGGATCGGTCGAAATAAAAAAATTTTTTTATCAAAAAATTTAGTTTATAAAATTTTAATAAAATTGATTAAAAAGTTCGGCCAATTTTTTAGAAAATTAGAAGATCAATTAACTTTTATCCACAATGAAGGGTTCCCCTCAAGTGATTCCTGTTATCCCAGCAATACAAAATTGTTGTGAATATAATTTTGGAGGTATCTAAATTTAAAATCTTCCCGTACCCCTCAAGTGATTTTTGCAGAAGAGAGAAGAAAAAATCTAAAAAATCTAAAGGGCCTTGACTTCATTGCGGATTAGAATTGCGGACTTTTGTCTATAGAACCAGAGGTGGTCGGAATTCCAATTTCCGAGTTCCGACTACTAAGCCAGTTCCGATTTCCGGCTCTTCCAATTTCCGACACCTCTGACTGTTCCGAATGTATAGAACTCGAACTATTCAAGGTTTGGTTGTAAAACCTTGAGATTGAGATTCTGTCACAGAGATTTTTAAAATAAAAATTAAATAAAAATAAATTTAGGAGAAGAATTCCTTCCACATTCTCACGCTGATCATCCTCGAAGAAAAGTGAAATATAATGTACAACGTTATAAAGAATTGGATAAATCTTTGAACTTTACTAAAGGAGTTGAATGTTGTTAAAAATAAAAAAAATAAAAATAATTTTATGAAGGAAACTCAAAAATAAATTTAAAAAACCCTCAAAAACCCTCATTTTTACATACATTTTTTCAGATTTAAAGAGTATAATTTCAAGGTTAACAAATAAATGTTTAAATACGGGGTGCGGCAATTTTTCCGCCCCTTTTGTTTTTGGCATAACTCTTCAATTTCAAGGAAAATTGATAATTCTTTTTTTTATTTGATTTCCAACACTCTAGGAAAATTTTTGGTGCCAAGCAATAGAAATTTGGTTAAAATTTAGTAAAGATATACCCGTCCGAACATTTAAACGTGTCAAAAAAATTTTTTATCACAAAGTTTATTTTGCCATAATGTCATCCAATCTCGCTAATTTTGGTATCACGACGAGTGGCATAGAAATAGCTCTAATTACATTTTTGAAAATTCTATAGGAAAATTTTTTTATATCATAGTATTTTTCAAATTTATTTCTATAAAAAGATTTAAATCGAAAATAGCGGGACGAGAGCCTAATAAATTTTACTCCGTATACCCTAGTTACTTATACTTGCATAAATTTTCTTCTGAGTTTTCAATTTAAAGGTGTAGTGGTGTGTAGTTTTAATCTTGAATTTTGATAAGAAAAACTAGAAGAAAGAATAATTTTTTTAAATTAAAATAAATTATTTAAAAAATTCATTTCTTTAAAAACAAAACTGGCCAAAAAAACATGCCAAACATGGATTCTCTCTCTCCCCTTCAACCAATCCTCTAATTCATAATAATAATTTAAGCCATTACGAAATATTTAAATTGATTGTCATAATCCAATAAATTTTAGCGCGCATGACTATAACTTCACGATCACTTTACTATCGCTTTACTATTTTATATGTATGCATATAATTTTCCCTCCTTTAATTAATCACACTCCCTCCATTCCCTCTCCTCATTCAAAAATATTAAAAAAATTTTTTATTTGAAATTAAAAATGAATATTTCCTATTTAATTTTATTTTTTTCAACAAAAAAATAAAATTAAATAAATTTTTCCATTTATTTTAAAATGATAAAAGGAATGGAACATTCACGTATCTTTTTTATTTATTAATTAAAATAAATAATTTAAAAATTATTACTTGAAAATTTTTGAAAGAAAAAAATAATTTTTAAAATTTAATTATGTAAAAGAGCTTCTATGCTTTTTATTTTATTTAATTTAAAAGCCAATTAAATTAAAGAATTTTAATTAATCCTCACGGCAAAACATGCAAATGCATGTAGTGAAAGTGAAGGTTTATGTAGATCTGAGGTTCCCTTGGATCCAAGGATCCGAGGTTCCCTTATCCATTTTTATTTTCTCTAAAAATATTAGAAATCCCCATAAAAATTGTTTAGGCCTCTCTCTCCCTCCCAAAAATTATTTTTTAAATTTAATTAAAATTAAAATTTAAGATTAATTAAAATTAATTTCTATAAATTAAAATACAAAAAAATGTATTATATTCCACTAAATAATTTAAATGGAAAAATTATTTCAAACAATAAAATATATTCAACAAAATATTTTTGTTTTTTGTTTTTACTAACTTTTATTTTTTGCTTACATTTTTTAATACAAAAATGGCCAAATAAAAATATTTTTATTAATTCCCAAAATTTTTTAAATAAAACTTTACTTAATACATCCAATTTAATTTTTGAGAGAAAAAGTTTGTTGGAAGAATGTATTGAAAATGAGATAAATCGGTTAGTTATTTAAGGAAAATAGGGAGAGGATTTCCCTAAAAATTTATTTACAAAAGGTGCCAATCTCCTTTCATGTCTCTTCTCGGATTTCCAAAAAAGTTTTAAAAAAGGGATGGGAAACGTAAAAGTCCCATTCAGCAGTGTTTAGAATTTTGAAAATTGCTCGTACACGTACACTGGTACGCCACCACCGTCCCCGGGGACGGTGGTTCACAGGGGCTGTGGAAGGTCCTCTCCCCATAGCTACCGTCCCCGTCACCGTGGCAAAAACCACCGCAACCACCGTCCACGTGAAAAGACCTAATATGTATAAATGGTATAACAATTACATATAACAATAAATATTTATTTAAAAAATTAGAAACGATACAAAATGGAGTTTAGAATGTTGTGGAGAGAAAATGGCATATTCATTTATTTTCCAAACAAACGAAAAACTAACCGAAAATTTAATGAGTGGAAAAAGATTTGATTGTAAACATTTACCCTTACTTCATACATACAAACTTGCTGACAAATACAAAATTCAACAAAAAATACCCGTTAGTTAAAATTTAAAATTATTTATACCGAAAGTTTAGAAAAGTTTAACCACCAGGCAGAATTTGAACTTGCGACCTCCTCGTAGTTTTAGCTAGGCGCTTTCGCTCACAACATACAGGAGCTCTACCATTGAGCTATCGGGGCATCGAATAATGCTCTCTTTTATCCTTTTAGACCGTTTAAAAAAGAAGTTTAGAATGTTGTGGAGAGAAAATTTTGAGAATTATGGTAAACCAAGGCTCCAGATTTCTTCCTCTTTTTGCGCCGCTGGCGAAAATCTTGAGAATTTTGAAGGTCCTTAAGCCAGCTTACTATTTTCCAAGCCTATGCTTGGAAAATATTTATTTAAAAATATTTTGAATTTTTCTAGGCGAGTGATCCCTTACAATACCGAAATAAATTCGTACAAACTCATAGTTGACAACTCATAGTTCCTGAAACCAGAAGAACACTACTTCTATATTTTGAACATACTAACTTTTTACAAAGGGACTATTATACTTCGGGTTGGATTTTTCGAATCGAACTGTACCAGTCCCCCAACCTCAATTATAATAAATATTTTGAATTTTTTTAAAATTTAAATTAAAATATGTGTAAAAAAGCCTTAAACTATAAAATAATTTTTTTTTGTTAAATTAAAAGGTAAAAAAGCCAGGAGATAAAGATTTCACAATTGTAACTGCCTCTAACGTTACATATTTTGAAACGTTGAAAAAACTTTTATATATTATTAAAAAACAATTTGGATGTTCTCAAAAAATAATTGGTTATGATCTTGGAGGTATTAGTGAAAATAAGACTATGGTAATAAATATATTTAATTATTTAATTTATTTTTAATAATTATTGTTTAATTATAAAGGCTCCTTTAGAAATCTTAGGCGGAAATATTTATTTTAATTATATAATATCTAGTATTAAATTGTTAATTGTTGAATGAATAATTTTGAATTGGGAATGTGAATGTAGGGATTACCCAAAGGTATAAGAATTACTTTTCTTGAGAAATCTTCGGCCTTGGTTGCCTTGTAGCGCTATTTAAATTCCTCTTCACTCTATTCTAAAAAGAGAGTGAAAGAGAGAAAAGAGAGTCCCTTGTAGCGTTATTTAGATTCCTATCAAATAACGAACTTTTGTAAAATTCTAACCTGAGGTTTTCGAGTGAGAATGATCTCCCCCCGAATCCCTCTTCATTACGTAACTTAAAAATATTTTTAATTTAATTTATTAAAAGATGGAAGATATAAATTCTGTTTGCTTGTTAGAATGGAGAAAATTTGATTGGAATATTATAAAAGAGGATATCCATTCACCAAAAGCCTATGCTTGGAAAATATTTATTTTAGCTGTAAATATACATATAATTTATTCTTTTTTTCTAAATTTATTTTTTTTGATTAAAGGAAATATATTCACAATATGATACTTTTATCTACATGGATACTTCAATAGTTATTGATGAAGCAAAATCCCTAAACCCAGTCTTTGAGTGTATTAAAGATGGGAAAATATCTGAAGCTATTTTCTTTGGAGGTAAAATACTGACGATTATTTGATTATTTTTGATTAATCGAGAATCTATTGAGAGTTTTTGGTAATAAAGATTCTCTATTTTTTTGATTTTTATTGCTGTGAAATTTCAGAATTGCTCATATCATACTTCGTACCATTCCTTAATTTAGGCCTCGTATAGAGAATAAACACATTTTTTGCTCGTATCTGTACTTGGTATGCGAGGAACGAGTACGAATTTTGAACGAGCATCCAAGCACTGTGTGTACATAATTAGATTTTTAATGCCTAAAAACAATCCAGCAAAAACCTAACAAGTCCTCGATATTTATTTCTACCCGATTCAAATTTTATTTTTTTAAAATAATTCCAAATAAAAATTTTATTTAATTTCAGCCTCAGGTCATAGTATTCAATTTGCAACTAATTTTCGTAAGTTATACATATTTTTGATTATTCTATAAATATTAACTAAATTTAAGGGACTTATTCCTACCTACCTTTGGTATCTCAATTAGTTAAATGGGATAATAAAATGTATGAAGCTGGTTTTAATATAATGCATAAAAGTGAATATACAAGAAAATTACTTAAATGGTAATATTGTCTATTTAGAACTAGAGGCATTTTTTCGATTAGAATAAGGGACGGTTTTTATCAAAATTTTCTCAAAACTCTTTATTAAAAGCTAAAAATTCGGAAAATAAATTTCCAATCAATTTTTGCACTCAAGGAGAAAAATTCCAAGAAATTTCTTTAAGCTATCACTGTCAGAATGAGATTTCTTTTGATTACTAATTCGATAGAAAACAAAAAAATACTTTTGGATAAATTTCCTATATTAATTAACCCTTAAATATTTTTTGGCAATATTAAGATTCTTATAAAACCTAAATTAATAAATTAATAAAAAATAAATTAATTAAAAGGGCACTTCTTTGTGCCGCAACAAAACAATGTATAGAGCCAGATTATTCTTATATAAATTGCACATCAGATTATAACACTACTGGTACTTGTCATAGATACGATCAAAGTGCTTTTGGAATTATTAATGTTAACGGCGAATATCAACGTTCAATTTTATCTACAAGTAAAAGTAAAAAAACGAAACGAAATTGTAATACCAGCAAAATATTTAGTGTAGGGATTGATCGAAATAAAATTTTCTTAATAAAAATTTTCGTTAAAATTAAAGTTAAATATAAAGTTTAGTCAATTTTTTTAACAAAATTAGAAGGTCAGTTAACTTTTATCCACAATGAAGGTTTCCCCTCAAATGATTCCTGTTACTCTAGCAATACAAAATTGTTGTGTATATGTATAATTTTGGAGCATCTAAATTCGAAATCTTCCCATAATTTTATTAAAAATAATATTTTCCCCTCAAGCGATTTGTGCCGAAAAGAGAAACGAAAAAGTTAACAGGAAAAAGAATCTTTACTTTATTAAGGATTAAAATTGCGGACTTTTGTCTCTAGAACTCGAACTATTCAGAATTTGTCTGTAAAACCTTGAATAGTTCGAAATTCTGTCACAAAGATTTTTAAAATAAAAATTAAATAATTATAAATTTAGGAGAAGACTTCCTTCCACATTCTCACGCTGACCATCCTAGAAGAAAAGTGAAATATAGTGTACAACGTCATAAAGAATTGGATAAATCTTTGAACTTTACTAAAGGAGTTAAATGTTGTTAAAAATTAAAAAAATATATTTTTAAATTTATGTACCGTATTTCCTCTAAAATAAGCCCCGGGGCTTATTTTTTTCGATCGACCTCTAGAGGGGGCTTATTTTGGAGGGGGGCCTATTTTAGAGGAAATATGGTATATTAATTAATTATACTACACGAATTTTGTGGACGTGTTAGTTGGTTATTTTGTGAGATCTAATTCTAGCTGCATAAATGTTAACTCCCATTTAATTATAAAAAACCCTCATTTTATAAAAACGGTACTTTATGGATATGTCACCCCCCTCCTATTTTGAGTCTCAGAGTTTTTCTTAAACGTAGAAAATGGTCAGAGATTATTTTCTTCTCCATGTCAATCATTTTTCTTTCTTCAAGCAAATGTGGTAAATGTATAAACGAAATGAGTGAAATGTAAGTACAAAATATGTGAAAAGGCAAAATAAACAAGCAAAATACTTGAAGAAGAAAAAAATGATTGACGTGGAGAAGAAAATAATTTCTGACCATTTTCTACGTTTAAAGAAAACTCTGAGACTCAAAATAGGAGGGGGGGGTGACATATCCATAAAGTACCATAAAAACTCCTAAAGAATAAATTAAAAAAAAAAAACCCTCAAAAACCCTCATTTTTACATACAATTTTTTCAGATTTAAAGAGTTAAATTCCAAGGTTAACAAATAAATGTTTAAAATATTAGTTCATTCGAAGGTTAGTTAGATATATGTAGTCTTCGCGTTGAGGCCCTGAAATATCCTTCAATTAATGCCCATTGTTCGTTTTATTGTAACTAAATTATATGTACTTCTGACTAAACTATTCCCTCAAATAAAGGACCTCTGAGGAAACTAACCTCTGCAGAGAGTACATAGGGGCCTCTCCATTAATAGTCATTTATAAAAGTATATTAAGGAAAGAAAACAAACAAAAAAGATAAAAGTGTTGCCTTTAATTTGCACTTTAAAGATTTTGAAATTTGTTTTGCTATTTATATTGCTATGCTTCATAAAAGTGCTTTACGTCTTGCGACAAAAAATACACTCAAAAGAAAGAGCCGCTCGAATCTTCCCTCTCCCTGTCTGATTTGCGCGTGTCAGTCGCCAGACGCGTGCGTTATGTAAACATGCTTGTTAAGGTATTTTCTTTTTAAAAAATTATTTACGAGTCCCTGTTTACAGGGTGCGTAAAAAGTTCCCGGAATTTTTATAATTTGAATTATTGAGTTTAAACTTTGATTTTTACAACAAAATTTGTTGATAATCATATTTAGCACTATTTTTTGGTTCAGAAAACATTTAGTTTACAATTATTTTTCAGAGAATAAAAGTCGAATAGCCCTCGCAAAGCTATTATCCAACACTTTTTTATGAAGCGTTTGGTCGCAGCTGGTCGGAAAAAACCGACTGTTGTGAAATTTTTACTGTCCAACGCATTCACAATAGCTAAAATTGTCCCCAATTACTCGAAAGAAAGGCTTTTAATCAAAAATTGTACAGATAAGCCTTTTCACGCAATCTGTGATGATTTGGAGAGGAATTTGTGCCACTGGGATGAACCGTTGGTGTTTATCGCCAGAAACGTCAAAATGAATGCTTATGTCTATCAAAATGAAATTTTGATGAATGTTTTACTTCCCTGGAAGTAGCAATGTTTTGGTGAAAATGATTTTATTTTACAAAAGGACTTGGTACCAGCACAGGGAGCTGAAACAACAATTAACCTCTGTGCAAAGTTGTTTCATGGATTTTGGGGAAAGGATATTTGGCCCAGTAACTCACCGGTCCTCAATCCAATGAATTTTTCAGTCGGTATTTATTGGAGCAGAGACTCCCACGCACACGATTCACATCAACATAGGCACCTAGGACGTCATACAATCTTCCTGGGTATCAATAACAGAGGATGAGTGCGCGACCATATTAGGAAATTTTCAGAGGCGTTTGCATGCGTGTATCTCAGCGGGCGGATCTCATTTTGGAAATTCGTTAAGAATATTTATTTACAAGAGTCTTATGAACGTCTTGTTTGTGTAAACTTATTTTTATTTTCAAATTATGGAAAATAAATTCATTTTGATTAAGTCCGGGAACTTTTTACGCACCCTGTAAATTAAATATACAATTTTAATTTTTTTAAATTGAATTTGCAATAAAAAATGAAAAAGATATTTTTATTTATTTTTTTAAATAATTTTGTATATAAAATGGTAGACGGAATGGAAAATATTAAATGTAAGTAAATTATTAAAAGAAAATTAAAAGACAAAAAAATACACTCAAAAGAAGGAGATTTTTAAAAATTAATGAAATATATGTATTTTTTATTAAAAATTTTAAGACAAAAAAGAAAATTTGGCTGAAAGTTCTAAATTAAAAAATAAAAAAGAAGACAACAATCTACTACCGTATTTGCTCTATTAATCCCCCAGTCCTTTATTAATCCCCCAGGCTCTATTAATCCCCCACCCTGGAGATGGGTTGAAACAATAATCCCCCTCTTTCTACCCCACTCTAATAATCCCCCAGGCTCTATTAATCCCCCACCCTAGAGATGGGTTGAAACAATAATCCCCCTGGGGGATTACTAGAGCAAATACGGTAATTCATCCAAAACCAAAATTCCCTCAATTGCAACTTTCCCTCGTCGAAATTTCTGTTTCAGTTCAAATTTTGTATAATACCGATATAGAATATATTTTAATGAATCCGAAGCCTTTGAGTAATATTTTGGATGAATATAGTGAACGATATATTTCTGAATCTAATTTTGAGAATGTTCGCCCTATTGTCAATGAAACAAGATTAAAACTAATACCGGTATACAAAGCTATATATATAAATATATATTAGAGATTGACCTGGGTTCGGACTAAGGCCTGGGTTTTTCCTGTTCCAGAGTCCAGGTCCAGGCATTTTTGACCTTCCTGGGTTTTTTCTGGGCTTTTTCCTGGACTACAGACCCGGGATCCAGTCCAGGGCAATAAATCAAATTCCAGAGTCCAGGAACAGGTCCAGGCTTTTCAAAATTCCCGATTCCTAATATATATGGGGGCTTAACTATGCATGGGTTGACTACATTATTATCACTATTGTCGGATTCGTTTAAAAAAGTTTCGGCACTAAAAACACTAAACATTAAACACGGGTCCAAGGATAATGAGTCAACTTTCTGCTTAAATTAAATTTCCTTCACAGCTCTTAAAATTAAATTATTAATAAGCTTTATAATTTAACAAAAAGGTAATTTTCTATTATAATTGTATGTTTGATGCAATAAAATTTCCTGATTGGCATCAATTAAATATAAATTATAAAACAAGAGTTATTGAAGGAAGAATGAAGGATTTAAGTTTAACTATGGATTTTGAAAATTATTTAAAATTCCTTAAAATTTTAATCGGAAAAAAACCAGTAAATGAAAATATAAAAACAAATGAAGAAATATATAAAAATATTATGTTAATTTTATCCAAAGGAATAAGGTAAAAAATTAGTTTTTACCTCCTTGGATATCCGAGAAGAATAAAGGTTATACGTATGGTATTGTTGAAATTGCTTGAAATTTATCGGTTCATTATCGTTTACTAGAATTGATCAGGGGGTGGGAAAATGTATAAATTATTGAAAATTTCCTGATTGGAAATTTGTAATTATTGTCTCTATCAGCATTAGAGATCGAGATTTTTAAAAAGCTTGGGTCTGTTTCTGAACTCTGGGGTTTGATTTATTGACCTGGGCCGGATCCTGGGCCTGTAGCAAGGAAAAACTCAAGAACGTCAAAAAATGCCTGCGCCTGGACTATGGGTAAAGGAAAATCTCAGGCTTTGGTTCAGGCCCAGCTCGGTCGAAATATAATATATATTTTCAAAAATTTGGGCTGCTTAAAATGTAAAATATAGGGCTGATTG